ATTTATTGTTGAGTATCTTTAATCACATTGATTAGTGTATAGAATACCTCTTCGGTTTCGACTTCCAAGTCATGAATCCGGCAAATAAAGTTCATTAATTTTTTTACGTCTACTTTTTTTTTTTTCGTCTACATTGATTTTTTTTTTTTAATAGTGTTCGTTGCATAATACGATCTTTTTTGTATATTCTTTTAGTAGTTCATGACAAATATCATGATAATATATTTTCTACTGGTCAAAATTATTTTGATCCATTTCATTCTATTGTGATTTAGCCCTTGTTTGGTTTAGTTAAAAATCACATTTAGTACACATTTTGATAAAGGTTGAAGAAATGTGTAGTCGAAAAATTGATTACAGTTGTGGATCCCATAAAATAATAGTTAAAAATGAGTTTAAGGAACAATTATCTACATCTACAATATATTAAAAGTGTGAATTGAGGAGAAATTTTTGAATACCAACTTTGCCCTTATATATTTAGTTAATTATATGTCAATTCTACCTTATATTGGAGTACTTAGAATTTTACATTAATCAAATTTAGTTTACCAATTTATCCTCACATAAAATTGTCAACATTTTCATTCAAAAGATTATCAATTGCACGTTTCGTTAATATAATAGATAATATAACTATTTAAATACAAATGACAATAAATTGAAAAGAAAAAAATTTGCCTAAATGTGATCAATAATTAGGAGGGAACATGTCAAAGATGGAGGAAATTATCTATCAATCTTAAAAACCATACTAATTACTCCAAATAATTAGAAGTTACTTACCCTTTCTATATTTGTATCCACCTCACTAAACACAAGTTTCGCATCTCAATTACACATTTTTCACTAAAACCAAATTTTTAAGTATTAATGAAAATTAATATTATGTGTCCTAAAAAATAATTAATATAGTATTTGGTGTTTTATTATTATTGCGTGATCATTTTTATATAAACATAAAAATTGATGGTAATCCAATTACTTAACAAAATATAAATATATTAAGAAAAGAAAAAGATTTTTTTATCTCGATACATTTAAAAAGAGAATTTTTATTCCTCCATTTTTATTAATTCCATTCAAAAGAAAACAAAAACTTTTGTTTTAAGATTTTTCAAATTTATATCCGTTTTGAATGTAAGTTTGGTTTTTAATTTAAAATAAATACTATTGATGAATATGACAAGCATTATTAGTACGTAATTTTTTCTCTAAATGTATTTAGATAAGATTTTTTTTTTTTAAGGTAAAAAAGTTTATGTTACAGACGAAATGAATAATTTTTTATTTTGAAAAGTATTTATGTACATTTAGTTTACTTATAAGTAAACATTTTAAACTTAATCAAATGTACATCTCTTAATTCGATTATTCTTCGTGTCCGTCTATACCACAAAGTTGGTCGATGTCGCTATAATGGTTGAAATATGGTCCAATCAATGTCTAGCATAAGTAAACAAAATATTACATTTCCATTTATTCAACATTTTCACATTATGTACATAATTTTATAAAACTTTTATTCACACACACACACACACACATATATTCATTATCTAACAATTTTAATTTTTTCTTTAACATTATCAATTACATTACTTTACAAATATTGCTCATATCATTCATTCCATACATAAGACGTACAATGCACATGTTTGCTACAAGTTTTTTAAAAAATGAGGGCAAACATCGACTTAATCCTTTTCTTATCTATGAATACAGTGTAAATGTCCCACTAAATTGTTGATTTAAGCTAAATTATATAGACTTAGCACCTTTTTGGTTGCAATTAAAATCTATATTTTAATTTAAGTCAAATTCAACAATTAATCTCAATCACATATTTTATAATGCCCACAACTTTTCAACCACACATTCCATCAATTTTTATCAAAATTCACTAAAAAATTGATTTTAATCTCTACCGAATATGGTTTTAATAAAGCCAGCACAGAAAATATAGGTAGGTCTATGCAAATGTCCTAATTTGATCCGTAAATCGAACAAAGTCTTGTCCAATCAAATATACATACCAAAATCTCCTAATAATCATAATTAACGAGGATTCCGCTAATTCTCCAATCTTGGCTCCAGCTAATGCACCAATTTATTTGGGTTGCTTTTATATCGTCTCCAATAGTATTTTCATGAAAATAATGTTTACCATCGAGAACCCTGTCCACTAACTCAAAAGAGAAGTGGAAAACTACCAAGCAATCCAAAACTTAATACCTTTTTCTCTTTATGCAATTACGTAGAAAAGTAAAACTCCATTTTTTTACATCGACCAATTAGTAATCTCATTCTAATGTAAATTTTCTAACCTTAAAGGGCAAGTGCTCATAGAAAGTTGTCTAAATATTGTAATTATTCTAAATTTGTGGCAGTGGGTAATTGTGGAATGTTAGTAGAGTCCCACTTTTGAAAGGTAATTATAATTATGTTTCCCAAAATAGCATTACTAGAATGTCGGATTACATTAATGTTTTGGCCTAATTTGGCTCTTTATAATAATGGGATACAGTTTGAGGCCTAACCCAAAGTTCGGAACAAACATCATCTTAATTTTTCATTATGCATTATGCATAATTTATTCATGGAAAAATGTCTTGTAATTAGTATTGGTACGTAAGTTGCTAAAAATTTAGTGTCAAAGTCGATAATTAATTTTAATTATATATTTCAATAGATCGATAATTTTTATTAACTTTTCAAACAGACATTTCATCAATTTTTATTAAAATCTGATAATTAAAAACTTTGGCAAACTACCCCTTAAGATCTACATATTGTTCAATCAAAATTATTATGATCTGGAGACAACTGATTGTTAGTTCTTCCCCCTTTTGAGAGAATTTCTATTTTAAGGACGGTTTTCCAAATTTTTTATAAAACGTTATAGATTTTAATAAAAGTTGTTGAAATGAGTGGTATAAAAGTTGTTACGGCCTCATGAGACTTGTGCTTAATATTAAAGCTTGACTAGTTAAAAAGTTGATAAAATTTGAACCAAATAAACACTCGATATATATTTAATTATGTAGAAGAAAGGTTTGAGACTTGATCGTAATGTAGAAAAATTGAAGGTTGATGCAACTACTTAATTGAGAATACTTTTTTTGATATATTTGTTGAGGACAAAGAAACTTCATAAACGTTTTTCACCTTCGAAAATAAGAAACACACGATAGTGATAATTAAAATTTATTTTGTGGATTTATAAGCATGTTGAGAGTTGCGTACTCGATTTTAAGGATGGTATTTACTCATTGTGGTGGTAAACATTAGTATAAACATGAACAATTATAATTTGGAAAACCTAAAATGTCTAATTTTAACGAGGCTGCGTGTGGTGCGCCATCGGGCCAGCATTTGGTGGGGTTTGTGACTCGTAATGGATCTACATCGCTTACTAATTCAAGGGGCCAATTGCACATTCAGGATTTTTCAGGGAACAATTCGCAATCGGTTGAAAAAATATATAGAAGCTATCTAGAAAAAATGATGTTAAAAGGGTCGTTTGGTAGGAATGAAGTTTCTATTATGTAGGATATCACCAACCATAATAAGAGCCATGGAGTTCAAGTAGGACTCAACTTTTGGGATGCAATGATGACATGGTAATTAGCCCCTGTTTGACATTCATTTTAATGATTTTTTTTTTTTGGGGGGGGAAAAGTAAATTTTGAAATAATGATTTTTTGGAGTGTGTTGTAATAAAGTAGGAAAAAATTTAGATTACGTGCAAAATATTTTATTGTGTGATTGAGTGGTTAAAAATGAGTTTGAGAAAAAATAGCTTTAACTTAATGGATGTCAAATAGGGGCTTAGTCTTTTAAGGGATTTCAAAAAATCATCGATTGAAGTAGACACATCTTCATTCGTTAACTAAGATAACACGACTAAAAGTAAAGACAAAGTTGAAGATAGAATTCGAAACGATATAGATCGCATGGGCATGACGAACTGTAAATAGTTGTAGAAGCTCATCAACCACCTGCCTCGACCAAATACATCATAGAAGCAACTTGTGCGACAATCACTAACGGATTTATATAGGGTCTTGTGCGGTCAGTTGCCCATATATTTTTTCTTATTCGAACAAATTTGCGTCCGTCAAAATATTTTAAATGAATTTCTTCGTTTTCGAGTGACGGACGAAATATCGGCAAAATATTTGTTCAAAAAAATGATGTTCGACAACGTAGAACGTCAAGTTCCGCCACTAGGGACAATTGCAACTTGTAAGGTTTTCCATATGCAGTTTAGGTTACGGACGAAAGCAGAACCTTTTTACTTGAACTTGATGATTAGTCGGCTAGATAGACATACCTTATGACACGCATAATGAGCAAAATATGTATAATACCACATGATATTTATATTTTATGTCACTATCACCATAGATTTCCAAAAATAATCATGTTACATTAACATCAAGATTGACATAATGCAACACGATATTCTATTATTGGACAATTTAAAATACAGCAAACTTTTTCATTCAATTAGTAATCGCCACATGCAATTATGTTAAACTTTTTGTCAAATCATTCAGGCAAATAAGCTTTATCCTTCCCAAAAATTCTCATAATTTTGGTTACATTACAATTGTCGCACTACGAACTTTTTGGATTGAGCCAAACAAAATTCGGGTCACTGTACTCTAACAATAATAAAGCATAAATTTCCTAGCAGAAAACAAATTAACACGTGCAATTTAATGTATATTGTTACTTTAGGAGATCAACTCGATACATTATGGTACCATACAAACGATTTTTTTGTTGCATAAATATTCATCACAAACATATCTCACGAGTCAAAGTTAAAAGCAATAAGTAGTTGACTTAAAAAAGAAGGAAAAAGAAATAAGCAGTCTAAATTGAATTTAATATAAATACAATTTGACGTGTTTCCTATGGAACTAAAATTGTTTTATGAGCTATGTGCCCTGCAGATGTGTAGGAATATACATAGCAAAACCATTTCATTACACAATTACTTCACTTGTCCTCTGCTCAGAATAATAAGAATTACATTGGCCTCACCTGATGCACCATTCTAACAAGTACACGAGCCCGAACACATTTTTCAAATATGGTTCAAAACATAAAGTTATAGGCTTAATCCTTCTTCGCCATTTCTTTCTTTCTACTTATAATTTAATACATAAAGACTATTTCTTCATTCACACTTGTTCTTTCCAACCGTAAAGACCTCTTCAACCAGTAAAGGCCTCCTAAAACTCGAGAACTACCTCGAGGATCCCTTTTCTCTTCTTCTTCGTTCTCTGCAGCCTCCTTTCTGCCACGACTATGGTTATCTCGCGTTGAAGATGGGATTTCAATCTCGACTTGTCCAGATTGGTCGTCATTTTCAGGCACCAACTGTACCACCTTCTTGCTTTCCTTGCCTTTTCCCCACAGTACACAGTACAGTCCAATTACAATCAATGCAGCTCCAATTATCCTGCCATGCACAATATCGAAAGTCTTTTAGCATCGTTTTACAACATTTCAATGAGCATTGGAGGTCAATATACACTCCAGAGTCTCGACTCTACAGAGAATTTTTTCCAGCCTAAACCTCGAACTAACAAGATTAATAACCATTATGTTTATTCATAAAACAAAACATTTGACAGTTGTGAAACTTGTTAGCACAATCGACCGTGCTATGTGTACGAGGAAAAACTGCCGGGGAATTAAGGGGGACACTTGGCACGTTTTCACTGGGTGTTGACACAAAAAATAAAAAACCCACCACCATACAGTTGATGCGGGTGCAGTACTAGCTTAATTAATTTAGCATTTGTACTTACGCTATTTATATCATTAAAAGGATAGATTTTTTATTTTTTTTTTATTATTATTTTTTATGACAGGGGAATCGGTAGCCGCTACCCTTTGGGTGCGCACTGGGTAAACCCTCGGGCTAACACAATAGATTACAAAACACGTCAGCCAGGTAAACTGCACCAGACAAGCCCGGTGCAGCAAGTTCGACCAAGAAAGTGTTGGTATGGGGAATCAACTCGGCCACCTCATGAAGGGTAAGGATAGATTGTTCTTACTTGTATGGTTAGGATAGATTAGATATTTTGCTCATTAGACTATTTAAACATTTCTCTTCACACTTTTTGTATAACAAGCTTATTTGGTTGTGTGAAATTCCTTTCCACTTTGCTTAACATTTGCAAGAACCGCAAAACTAATTTAAAAAAAAAAGGAAAAAAAGAAAAAGGGAAATAGAAACACGTACGTTCCCAAGTGTAGTTTCTCTTCCAAGAATAAAGATCCAGCAATAGCCACCAGGAGAAGCATCAAGGGGTTGAATACCGATACAAAGAGTGGACCTCTTATGCGTATACACCACGCAATTAATGTGAACATAACTCCCGAACCTAACACGCCCTGAAAGAAAATAATAAAAAGAACAACTATTACATTTTCCAACCCCAAATTCAATGAGAACAAGGCTTAATTTGTTGTTGCATGCATCGAAAAATTACACGAAAATTAGGCATACCGCAATAAATACTGTGAGGAGTCTAATATCCAATCCTAACTTCCACTGGCTCCAATCTCTCTCTGTACACAATGCAAATCCAGTACCTTGAATCGACGCCCACAGGGTCATCATTGCAGTAAAAGAGTAAGGACATGGATACCGCTGGGCTGCCTTAGCCTGCCCCAACCGAGAAAAACCAAGAAAATCGTAAGAAATCCTAGAAAAAATTACGTTGGACGAAAAAAACATGTTAATTAAGATTGTTTAGATAGCTCACCTGAATAATCAACCAGAGAGAATAACAAACACAACTGGCCAAGGATAGAAGTGCACCATATATAACATCGGTCCCACTGTGGTAACTTTGTATAGGACTCATCGCGTGATGTTTGGAAGTTGTTTCGAGGAGGTTTATGTTTGTGTTCCAAATGTTTATATCTAGACCTTTGTAAAATGTGAGGACCATCGCTCCACCTATGCCGGTTAGGGTTCCAATCACCTTAGCCACACCAGCTAGTGTACTCAATCCCAATTTCTCTAGCCTGAATAATACATTTATTTAAATTCTAAACAGAAAAATTTCCATTGATTTTGATAAGATAGTGCAGTTTGCAGACGTATATTTACCTCAAGATTACAGCTATAACAAATGTAATGGCGGGAATAAGATTGGTCAAGGCTGAAGCAAAAGTTGCAGAAGTCAATGCCATACTTTTTAAGTAGAGATTTTGCCCGAGTGACCCTCTGCAATAAGAAAATCGTACTGATTATTGCCCTAAACTATTAAATTGAGTCCATAATCATGGTCCAAGAATTAATATCGTAATAGTAATCTTCTCACAAGGATTATATTATCAATTATGTATATTGCCTCAAATAATTGAATTCCTCCATATACACTATTCTCGAATAATTTCTACTCTCAATTTATTAATCAATAACGAATTATTTCAATAGAAGTAGAAATTATAATATAATATATTATTGAATTATCAACTCGCTAAAGAAGTCATCATCTCATGAAGAACGTCTTAGACTATCATAAACCTTAGGTGTGCCAATGAAAGCCAATATACTCATGAACCATACTTTTGCCAATGAAAGCTTTTATTAATGCTGGACAAATGTATAGAGTACAACACAACATGTGTCACATAAAGCAGTTGAAAAAAGGCAAAGTAAATCTCAACCATATTCAAGAGAGTCCTTATTTTGTATGCTTCATAAATCAAAACATGGATTGTTCATCTCTATCTCTTAAAAAACCCTATCCCAATCTAACAAGTCATCTAAGAAATAAATAAAATTTAAAACTTACCCAAATAAACCACAGAGAAACGCTTGGAAGACTACCATCCATGTTAACTTAGGCCTCTTCTTCCTGAAAATTTCAAAATTCAGACTCCGAAGAAATTTCTGTGCGTGCATTTTAGCTTTTAGATTTTTCAAATTTTCCGAGGGATTCATAAACCCTAGATGTGAAGGATCGAAAAAATAACTCCTAGACAATTTAATTAAATATCCTTTCTAGTAATTCTCAAAATAAAGCTGCATTACAACCTTTCAACCAAGAGTGCAACCGGAACCATAAAAGCAGCGCCAAACATGAATCTATAGCCCACCAAAATGGACAACTTCATTCCATCGTTGGCAGCCAGTTTATAAACAATATTGACTCCAGCAAATATTGTTTGCACCATCAACATTACTAACGTTGGTTCCAACCCTTGTAACGAGTCGCAAATCTTCATATTTTCAATCAAACTCCCAACCCACAAAAGTAAATAAATCTACCAACAAGAATCTTAAAAACCTTGAGATGTACAGAATTTTCGATCAAAACTCTCAACCCACAAAAGTAAATTTTGAATCTACCGAGAAGAAACCCTTAGAGGGATGGAGGATTTTTCAATCAAACTCCTAACCCACCATAACAAATAGGTCTACCGAGAACACCAGGAACAAAATAAAATAAAATAAATTCAGTCTTTCTGAGTCCTTGCTTGAGTAGAGGAGAAGAACCGAGAGGGAAATAGAAGGAAAAAACTCAAGTTATATATCTGTTTTTATCGGATATCTCATATATATAAGATAGAAGTTTAGAGAAAGAGAGCCAGTCCAATGCCAGCTGTTCCTGAATCCTGAAACCATCCGAATGCTTAGGAAACGTGAGCAATTGAAGGGTTTTTTTTTTTTTTTAATGTATTTTAATATTCGAGGACTCCAGACTGTTAACTATGTTCATTTTTTGCACGTGTATGGTCATAGTCAAATCGTGCTCTTTAATTTTGCTTCTATAAATGTTTGACATCATTAATTTGTCAACATGTTTTGACGTTTGTCTTCTTCCTCGACCTCTTCTGCATTTCATAATTATTTTTTATAATATAAAATAAAATTTACGTGTTATAGTTGGTGTTTAACGCTAATTTAAGTGATGATAGACCTTACTGATTTATTTTATGCCCTTATTTGGTGGGGTAAAGTTAGATTTTAATAGATATTAATAGAAATTGATAAAATGTGGAGTTAAAAAATAATAGATTCAATGAAATATGTAGTTAAATTGTTGACTTTGATTTAAATTAAAATTTAGATTTTAATTCCTATCAAACAGGACATAGGGGAAGTTTCAAAATGCATCCCATTGTGAAACAAGTTTTGTTTGAATGAAATAGAAGAAAATTATTTCTTGTTAATTATTCCAGTTGTCACCATTATTTTGGCTAATTTATCGGGTAATTATTTTTGTTGCATAATTAATTTTTCCTATTTAAGCCTAATTATATTTGTACCTAAGTTCAAATAATTAAATAGGCTCTCTAAATAAATTAGCTCTACAAGGTTTTTCTTGTATTTTTGTTACTCCACTTTCTAGGTTTAGATTAGGCTGAACAATGAAATAATTAAATCGTCAAATCAAATCGAAATCGCTTTATTAAAATCGTTGATATGAATTCGTTAACGTTTTGATTTTATCGAACCAAAACATTTCAAAATAGTTTGGTTTAAGTTTCAATTTTTGCGAACTATTTCAAACCGTCAAATCGCTTACAAAAACAAACTGAAAATAAATTTATTTAATTTTATCCAACCCAATTAAAACTAAATACACCCCAATTAAAAAAAACACATCCATAATAGATCCAATCCTATTAAATGCAATTAAATTTGTATGACATGATTTGTTTTTTTCCCCAGCCCTATTATCAAATTAAAATTGCTTAATCTTGTATCTAACGTTTTCTGTCCTCATTATCTAATGTTTCTCTCTTAACTTTCTTTTGTATATTAATTTTGATTGATGGAAAAAATCATGTTTATTTCTTAATATCCTTTTGCACATATTTTGAATAATAGAAAAACATTATTTTTTCTCTACCTATAGAACTAAATTGTTTCTATAATTTTTTTTTTTAATGATTAGAACTATAAAACTTTCATTTATAATATTTGTAATGGTACTATGTTTTAACGTTATATTTTAGAATAATATTTATGATTTTTTGTTTTAAATCGAATCAAACCAAAAAAAGTGGTTTGAGTTGGTTTAGTTTAGAAAGTGAAATGGTTTGGGTTAATTTGAAAAAAATTCAAACCTCTTTAAGTAGTTTGGTTTGAAATGTGTGACAAATCACCCAAATCAAATCATGTTAACCCCTAATTTAGATATTATATGTTTCTTGATTATGAATTTAGATATGTAGGTGAACGGTAGTCTTTTTTTTTCTTTTTTTCTTTTTTTCATGCAGCATCCTTCTAACAAAAAATTGAATCGACCAAACTACTATTTTACGATTAAATTAAAGTTCAAACCACAGTTTTCCCCTATCTTCGGCAAAAAAACAATAAAAAAAAAATAAAAAAATTATTTGTACATAAATTTTAGAGGCAATCCTTATTCTCCAGACTCCAAGCAAATTCATGTCGCATTCTCATAGAATAAATTCATGGTTTTTCCTGGTTTTAAGGTTGTATGTCAGTGTCAACCGATTAAGAAACATGATGTTGAATCATGCATTAAGTTTGCGCCAACAAACTCAAAAGTTGCTTCTACTTGTCTTGTTATTCTTGGTTGGCCATGAAAACTGGAACATGCATGTTAACAAGCCTATGTCGACATATGCTAACAATTATGTTTTGATTTAACATTTTTTGTTTATATTATTATTTTTTTTTTTTGTTTAAAAACAAATTATCACTTCAAGTACCACACCTAATTGTTTTGTGAAGACTCACTTTTGCTACGACTCCGATGAATTCCCTTAACCAAGCCACCTATAAGCCGTTGGCTCATTTTTCAATAAGCACGCGGAAAAAGACCTGGCTCTTTCCACTACTTGGGAGCTTACAATTTTATGGGAATTCTTTCAATTATCCTTCCCTCAAGGTACTAGTTCACCATCAATCCCAATGAGTATTTAGCCCTGTAAACTTGTTCTTATTGATTCACACGAGATTCCACGTCCTCTGTGCCACTCATGTTAGAGCGTAAACCAACACATTATGTTAAGCCTTCATCATAGAAAGTCAGGAAAAGCTACAAATCATGCCTTTGTAATTTGCATATCGAGTTTTATAATTTACAATTCAGACAATGTGAGCATTGGAATGTTGTAAAGCTAGATGTTACAACATGTGTCTTATTAGATGGGTTTTGTATATAATATTCCTTTAGTTAGCTTTGAAATGAGGAACGAATATTTTATTAATTTTTGTATTTTTTTTTCTTATATAAATATATGAGTGGCAACTAAAATCTTTTTACATCGTATGGTGAAGCAGTATTGCAGTGTAGCGAGCTTTCCTACGACAACATCTTTGTGCGCCACGGTGCCTCACTTCGAGACGCTGCTACTGATGTGCGCAACATCACCTCCCATATTGAATATAGATCGAGCGTCTCTATGTTTCACGGGGTGTCTTTCTTCTTGGCACAGAAAGGGACACCGTGCGGCAGTAGTCTGCTCCGCTAGACTACCTTCCGCCTTTTCTCGGTCGAAGCAGTATTGCAGTGTAGCGAGCTTTCCTACGACAACATCTTTGTGCGCCACGGTGCCTCACTTCGAGACGCTGCTACTGATGTGCGCAACATCACCTCCCATATTGAATATAGATCGAGCGTCTCTATGTTTCACGGGGTGTCTTTCTTCTTGGCACAGAAAGGGACACCGTGCGGCAGTAGTCTGCTCCGCTAGACTACCTTCCGCCTTTTCTCGGTAGCGTCGGGACGAAAGAAAATTTGATTGCAATTTTGTAGAAAGCTTACAATTGAGAATTTGAATACATTGAAAGTAAATTGAACATTGATTGCTGAAAACTGAACATTACAATTGATGAAAGCAGAAAATTACAAATGCTGGTGTAGGGGGCGGACACCAGTGAGCTTGAAAGATTTTTGAATGACTAATACCCCCTATAATAGCATTCTGAACAAAAAC